ATTGCACAACAGCAAGAAATCTTCAAGTGAATATAAATTCAATTCCTACATTTGGATTCCGGACAATAACTTTAGTTTATGTGTATGGATCTCTATGAAAGGAGTAGGTCTGGTAAGGGCAGATTTTGGCCTCAAAATTCAGGTTCATCTGATGAAAGATTTTGCACACTTTTTAAACACTTAAGTGTCTACTTCAGTCGATTCAATTAGTTTATGTGAAAGATTTGAACTGGTTTAACATTAAAGACGCCCAAATTCAAGCTTAAATATGAAAAATCTATCAAATATGCCATAATATGTCACTTTTCAGATGGTTTTTGTCAAAAATGAAAGTGGCCGCATCCGTGTTCATTCTCAACCTTTATATATGTTATGTTTTATCATCAAATACAACTTACATTTAATATTAAGAATGAACACAAATGTGGCCACTTCCAAATCAGACGGAAACCGTCTAAAAATTAACCAAATTACTGAAATTTCGAAGATTTCAGTAATTTAGCATGATTTAATGATGCTAGTACCCGATACATGTGCATTGTATTGTCAAAAACAGCACATATTTATGTAACAGAAGTATTCTTCTTTCCAATAAATAGCTAAAAATATACATTTTAACAATTTTGTAAAACTGCTATATTTTGGGGCCAAAAAGGGGTCTTACTGGGCCTACTCCTTTAACCAAAAGGTTCAATACCACAAAAGGAAGGTTGGGATTGTTTTTGGGGGCTGATGGTCCCAAATGTTTAGGAATTAGGGGCCAACAAGAGGCTGTCAGCGAGACAGCAAACCGGATTTTCCTGCAGAGCTCGAACCCTGAACAGTTGATCTATGAGCAAGTATGGAAACAACATTAAACTTAAAATAGCTTTGAATTTGGATTGTTATTGAATATATTTGATACAGCATACGTTTGTGACACAAAATAAATGTGGTCAAAGAACTGAAAAATTTGAAATTCGACATTTACCTATTATGGTCCAATATACAAAATCTATGTACATTGCTAGAATCAGCATATCAAGGAACCCCAAGAATTCAATTTTTGATGAAATACTTCTAAGTTAAACCATTTCTGTTCAAAGGGAAATAACTTTATTTCCATGAACCAATAATGCAAATCTAAAATTAGATATGATTTAACTATAGTTCTCTAAAACTAGATATGATGTAATTAGATATGATGTTATATTTATTTTCAAATTATAATCTAATATAATTAATAGTTTTCAAATAAATCTGTCACTACAATTATAATTGGGTGATTGACAATCATGACAATTACCAAAAAGGGTCTAAAACAAGCATTTTTCTAGTTTTCAGACAATAACTTGTGTTTAAGTGTATGGATGTCTCTTAATTTGTACCACATTTTCAAAAAGAATTTTTTTTTTTGGGGGGGGGGGAGCAATTTTTTTCCTCAAAAGAAAATTCTCTTCAAATGTTATTTTTTTTGGAAAGGGGAGGGATAAAAAAAAATTCTTTGGAGGGGGGGCAATTTTTTTTCCCTCAAGATTTAAGAAATTGTCAATTTTCCAAAGAAAAAAATTGGGGGTCACAATTTATTTTACTAAGTCTTTGTATATAATCTGAAAACAGATTTACTAAGTATTGCTCAACAGCACAGTCATGACAGTGTGTACATTGCAACAGCAAGAAATCTTCAATTGAATATAAATTCAAATCATACAACCAATTTCAAGTTCTTTGACTACATTTATTCTGTGTCAGAAACCTATAATGTGTCAAATATTTAATTACAATCCAAAAAAAGACCTGTATCAAGCTTGAATATTGTGTCCATTTTTGCCCAAACTGTTCAGGGTTGGACCTCTGCGGTCGTATCCAGCTGCGCTCGGCGAAGCAGTTTATTGCTATTTGTCCTCTGTAAAAACATAATTGCAAGACCTACTACAAATACAGCTGACAAAACCCAAGCAAGAATTTTCACATGTTATGAAAAAATATGGTCTTTGCATAAAAATATCAAATCTAGGGGTTTAACATCAAATGGGCTCTTTAAATATGGACACCATAACAGCTACGAAAATATCTAATGTCAATACCAAATGTTCTTGTCAAGAAGGAGTCAAATAATCAAAATTCTACAAGTACGTTCAATGTGAAAGTTCTGTTTTCACCCCTTAGCCCCTTTAAGAACTACTAAACCACTATAATACAAAACAATTTTTGTTTATTGTCAGAATTCATGTAGTTGTAGTGTTTAATGAAAGAGATTTGATCTGCCATGAACAGGATTAGGACAAAGCCTTAGATGAGTGGTAACAAATGTTTGAAGGAGTATTAAAAATAAAAGCTACATTTTCAGTGCTAAAAATCAGTTTTTGGTTTTATATTTCAATTAGAAAGTGCACAAACATGTATAAAAATAAGAAGATGTGGTACAATGTATGATTGCCAATGAGACAACTCTCCACAAAAGACCAAATGACATAGATAGTTAACAACTATAGGTCACCATACAGCCTTTAACAATGAACAAAACCCATACTGCATAGTCAGCAATAAAAGGCCCCGAAATCACAAATGTAAAACAATTCAAACAAGAATGTGTCCATAGTACATGTAGTACATGGATGCCCCACTCGCACTATCATTTTCTATGTTCAGTGGACCGTGAAACTGTGGTCAAAACTCTAATTTGGCATTAAAATTAGAAATATCATATCATAGGGAACATGTGTACTAAGTTTCAAGTTGATTGGACTTCAACTTCATCAAAAACTACCTTGACCAAAAACTTTAACCTGAAGCGGGACAAATGGACGGACAGACAGACGGACAAATGAACGGATACACAGACCAGAAAACATAATGCCCCTACTACTATCGTAGGTGGGGCATAAGAAAACTAATGGCCTGATTTATGTACAAAACAATGAATGAATAAACTGCTTCGCTGAGCGCAGCTGGATATGCCCGCAGAGGTCCAACCCTGAACAGTTGGGGCAAAAATGGACAAAATATTCATGCTTGATACAGGTCTGAATTTGGATTGTATTAAATATTTGAAATATTATAGGTTTCTCAATAAATGTAGTCAAAGAACTTGAAATTGGTTATATGAATTGAATTTATATTCAATTAAAGATTTCTTGCTGTTGTGCAATACACTGTGCTGTTGCGCAATACTTAGTAAATCTGTTGTCAGACCTTAAACAATTAAAGTTCAATTAATTCTCAATGTCATATTAGAAATTTATGAAAATGTAAAGGGAGCTTACATTAATAGATATAAACAATTCACCAAAGTTTCATGAGAATTGCTGACAGCATTTTTGAGTTATTGTCTGAAAACTAGAAAATCCCCCCTTATTTAATGAATAAAACCCCATAACTCAGAAATGTAAAATGTAAAATTTATAAAATTCTAAACGGAGCTTACATCAACAGATATAAACAATTCACCAAAGTTTCATAAGAACTGCTGAAAGCATTTTTGATTTTTTGACCGAAAACTGGAAAATCCCCCTTTTTTTATGAATAAAACCCTGTAACTAGGAAAAGTAAAGTCTAAAATATATAAAAATCGAAAGGGAGCTCATGTCAATAGATATAAACAATTCACAACAATTTCTTGCAAGTTGGTGAAAGCATTCTTGAGTTATTGTCCGAAAACTGGAAAATCCCCCTTTTTTAATGAATAAAACCCCATAACTCAGACACATAAAATCTAAAATTTATAAAAAACCAAAGGGAGCTCACGTCAATAGATATAAACAATTCACCAAAGTTTTATGCAAATTGGTTAAAGCGTTTTTGAGTTAATGTCTGACATGTTGACGACGGACGGACAGACAGTAAACCATAATACGTCCCGTAAACGGGCGTATAAAAACAAATATGATATACATGTACAAATTGAAGCCAATTTATTTAATTTTTCAACAGATCATCATGTGCACATTATTTTTAAAGTAGAAATTAATGCAACCAGGCAAGCAAATTAAGGTTGAAATTCAGTTTTGCCTTAATTTTGCAATTACATGTATTTGTACTTAAAACTATTACTATATGATTTTTACCTTGTATTTATTTATATTTTTTATATATTTAATTTCATAACAAAATCTGAACACTAATGAACTTGCGAAATTGCTGGGTTTTTTTATCACATAAAGAATATGGTTTTTGTAACAAGATTGCACATGCTGAGATGTCTCCCCTGCTTTACTGATCTGATTGATTTTATGTAAAATATCTTTATGATAAAGGTTTTACTACAACTATCACATAAACTTAATATTATCAATGATCCAAGTAAATGAGGTCAGGAAAAGATGAACCTTACTAGACTGACAGCACCTTACAATCATTCCATACATGTACACAAAATTTGATATCATATTGCTTATAGAAACAATCAATTTACGGAATCTATACTAGGGGTACAATTTTTCATGCTACATGTATATATATTTTAAATTGGAAAAGATTTTTAACACTTTAACATGTTTTATTGATACCAATTTCTTATAAGATCAGTATTGCTATATAAAGTAGTTAGAATAACTATGATTATATGAAAATTTTACCCCTTTAGTCGGGGTGGGGACAATTTTCCAAGGTTCATGTAGGGGGTCAAAATACCATGGCCAAGTATAGTGTTAATCAAAGTATCATTTGGGCTGTGATCCAGCCAATTTTAAAGCTAGTTGGACATTTTTTCTAATCTCGTTTCATCTTTTTTCTTTGATTATAGTTTATACCAACTCCTATAAAACAATTTCAAGATCATGAAGATAGTCATCAAACTTAAGCTTGGGAGAAGTGATTTTGGCCCAAAATGTTGACACATTTTTTTTATTAAATATGGAGACAGGGAAGATACTAAGGCCAGTAAGGGTCAATCGAAAATCATACATGGCATATGTCTAATAAAAATCTGGAACTGTGTGAAAACAGACAACTCGAGTTGAAACTTACAAAAACTTTACCGATTTCCCCATATTACACTAAAGCCGTGTCAGCATGCTTACCTCCAACTAGCACTGAACCAACAATTCTACTTATCACTAAACCGACTTTGTACATTGTAGGGTTTTTCTAAGATCTTTTAGTTTAACTAAAAACTTTTCTAAACATTCAGTATTGCACAATTTTTGTTTCATGGGCGCATCCATTGCAATACCCCGGATGTTCCAAATCCGGAAGGGAAATGTATAACTTTCGGATATTCATAGCTTCAAACAACGTCATATAGAACGAAAAGTGACGTCATAGCGACTAAGCCAGAAAATGGCAGATCCACTGTCGCTTATCATCAAAGCGATCAAGGTCAAAATAGCCTTGAACAGGCTATCACGATTAAAAGAAAATGCAGTACGGGAGCACATGGGATTGCCCCCGAAAACGAAATGGTAGGAAATTAAAATTGAGAATGGAAATGTCAAATGGGGAATGTGTCAAAGAGACAACAACCCGACCATACATAGTCTAAAGCAGACAACAGCCGAAGGCCACCAATGTCTGTAATCATATGCCACCACGCCCCCACCCCTCGAGCCTCCGATCAATGAAAGTTTTGACTCTCCCCTACCCAATCTTTATGAAATCATCTTGGGAACTAAGTAGCTTTAGAAACGACTTCAATGCGAAAAATAGGGATGCCGGCTAGCGGTGCCGTCGTCAGTCATGACTAACTCGACCCACAGGGGCTTGTTTAGTGGGTCAGACAAGGTTTTACTGTCAATGGCGGTCGCTATTCTATATAATTAAAACACAGGCCATGATAGCGACCGCCATTGGCAGTAAAACCTCGTCTGACCCACTAAACAAGCCCCTGTGCTCGACCGTCATGATTTTACCAACTCCTCGTACCCCTAATAGTACAGATTCCTCTTTATCAATATGTCATTTTACACAAACAATTCCAATAAGTAATCAAGTATTATAACCCGTTATTTGTTGTTGCGGGTGATTTCTTTCGATCTATAGCAGTGTACGGTATTCATTTACAGAAATTTTCATTTTTTTCTTAGTTGCATGCATAAATACAAATTTTCGTTTTGCCAGAGGTTCGCATAAATGAATACATATATATTGATTTCCAAATTTAAGCAGGAGTTTTTTTTTCTCATATAAATAAAATATTGAACTTTTGTATAGCTTTTTTATTGCATTTATTTCAGTTTCCTCATTTATTTTTATAAAAATTCTCGATTAAAGCTTTAGCTAAGCTAGTAAAATTTTTGAGTCATTGTATTCACATAAAAATTTACATTCTTTTAAGCCATTATGCATTTTTTATGTGGTTATTTTTATAACTCAGCAATGGTTTCTACCTCATTTCTTATATTTTTTTCAACTATAACGATAATATTCAGCCACGTATGCTAATAAGACGCATCTACCAATGTGACGCAGTATAGGTATATGTTGCCGATATTCCAAAAATGCATTCGTTTGCGCCTCAATCTATTTGCACAAATGCTTCTTTGGTGCCACTCAGCCATTTAAATTACAGGTTTAATTTCATTTCCGCCAATTATACTGGCATACAAATAAGCCAATTTGACAAATATATTTTATTTTTAATTTAAGATATTTAAGTTAAACTTGTGATTTACAACTCATCTCCTTTATCAGTAAAAACGTCTTCTGAAACTGTACAAGTTTTTAATTGGCTTCATATCTGAATGAAATGATCACGAATTCAGATTCATTACATAATACCATATAATTTTTATCAGATTGTAAATTATACAAAGTCATAGTCGTTGTTCGGTTACCATACTAATATCATAAAAAAATGCAGGACAATGCGGAATGCTGTGGGATTCTACTCTCAATTCTTTTTATTGATTTTGAAGCAGGTTTCTTCGTGGACGACGAACATATTTACCAGTCCTTTTTTTATGAATTATTTTTGTCAATTTTAAAGTCTTGTTTCAATATTTCCCTCATGAATGTAAAATGATTGCTAATAGACTATTTTTTTTCAATGCGACTTGCGATTTTTGATTTATAAGCCTTTCTTTTTGGACGAGTTGAGTGGCACGTTGATAGTAAACTGAGTGGCACGTTAATAGTAAACTGAGCGGCACGTTGATAGTAAACATGCATATTCAGAGTAAAAATATGGTATATTGGTATTTAATTTATATGCAGCAAAAATACTGCAATCTGATTGGTTAATTACCCCGGTGTAAATAACACCCCACCCTTGTTCACCCCGGGATAAATAAAATTTTGCCAAAATAAAGAAAAAAAAAATATGAAATGTAAAAAAAAAAAAAAAAGAATTAAATGTCAAAAAAAAATAAAAAAATAAAAAAAAAAAAAATTTGAGGACAAAAATTGAAAAAAAATTAAAAAAAATATTTAAAAGAACACAAAATTTTTCTGAATTTCCCAAAAATAAAGAAAAAAAGTATTTGACAATGCGCAGCAACATCGAAGTTGAAAAAATGTTACAACGGAAATTTTTCATTACCATTTTTCTATTTTACATCCTGGTTTAAAAATGAGTAAAGAAATTGGTCATAAGAAATAAATTCGTTATCTTGGTGTAATCAGGGGTGTACGGAATTTTACACCGTTGTTGAAAAGATAACTAATAATATATATGGTACAAATAAGTGATATATATTGAAAAATCGAGGATTTATGATAATAAGGGGGAGGGACTACGGGAGGGGGGGCTTATAACAGGATCCTGTCCTCAAGCACCTATGCTTTTATTCCTATTTTAGGACTGAAGAATGTTATGAGGGATTCATGTCGTCACTTAGAACTGCCTGTTGTGAAATATTTACACCGTGTTGTATACTTGGTAAAATCAAACGACCAGAAGTACCAGACAGCTGCATTAAAAGAATATTTTTTAATGGAACATATGAGAATGACGTATTCAAAAATGTTCTTGGTCAGTATAACGAGTATTTAATCCGTTTCCTGGATATGGAATGAGTAGCTAATGCTCGAGCTAATGTTATAAAATATATTATACTGGCGTTTTTAGTTCAGTATTTGAGGGTTGGAATCGTACACTTTTGCTTTAATCTCATTCAGTTTGTCATAATTTTGAGAAAGTTGCTTATAAGAAAGTGATGCATGCATAACAGGAGATGCTTACCCTGTCGACGTACCCGGTCTCGCTCCTTTTGGAGTTCGCTCGATTCCTTTCGTTTTTGTTTGTTACCTTGATTTGTCTTTCTAATCGATTTAAGAGATTGGAGCATCGGTAAACTGTTGTTTGCCTAAATTTAAATAAAACTTAATGATCAACAACAATACAGAACATGTAAAACCATTTCTAAGTGATCAGGCGAACTCCTACTGTTATTATTTCCAGTTGATTGAGTATGGAATTTGCACTGAGACATATATCATCCGAGACCGGTTTGGTGTTCTGATCTGTTTGGTTTTCATGCTTACAGTAATAAATATCCTTGCTTTTAAATCTGAGTACAATTCCATCGTTTACAGCTTTCTGAAAGACTTTTAAGAGTAGAAAATCATTGTTAATCAACAAGGAATTTCAAACATACAGTATCTTTTCTTTATTTTGTTTTGTCATAATTTTAAAGGCAATATTAGGCCTAAGCTGTCATTTTATGGCTTAGGGTCATCTTGCTGGTAGGTTTTTGATGTCAGATAAAAAAAATGAGAATAACAGATTTTGATTTTGAAGGGTCTTTTTAACTCTATTCATATGTTTTCATATGTACATTCTTTAATTTTTTGAAAAATATTAAAAACTGAGTTGTTTGCTAGGCTTATAATATAAAATTTGACTTAACGCAAAATAAATTTTAAATCTGACACACACTTACATTGATGCATTGTTTGAATATTTTTTTTATCTTACAGGTTTCATTTGTGGTGTGTTAGTAACGATTATATTATACTTAATCATGGTATTTCAAATAAAATTTACACCTCTGACGTCATCATTGATATGCACATTTTTGGGTGCACTACTAACACTAGGACTCGCTTTTACGTCACAGACAAGATTAATGGTATTACTGATAATTCCACAGTTCTTCACAAGTAAGTGGCACAATTAGGGCTTAACATGTTCGTTAACTTGTTCAATAAATCTGTGTTTATTTGCACATAATATATTTTCTTTTTTTATACCGCATTTACCTATTTTGTGAAATTGATGTAATTAAAATCTGTCTATTTGCACATAATATATTTATTTTAATATTTATCTTTTATACTTTGCATTTACCTATTTTGTGAAATTGATGTTATTAAACTGTGTCTATTTGCACACATATATATATATATGTTCTTCTTTTTTATACGTTGCATTTAATCATTTTGTAAAATTGATATATAATAACAAAATTATTCGAAAAAAGATAGATTTTATATCGTAAGATGCTGAATTCAACATTTTAGTAAAAAAAACGGTAACGTGGGCGGTTGCCAGCACTCTTATGTCCATTTTCATGGTTATCTGCTAACTCTCAAGAACTATCAAGAATTTTCCCTGAATGGAAACGTAATCTACAATCTATTTTGCAAGGTTACTAACGATCTGGCCTTTCTTGTTTGTTGAGCATTTCTTGTGATAAATACAAAACAATCTAATTAGAATCATATCTTTCACAGTGTTACGTTATATTTATTTGTTACACGAATACAAACTAGAGTTTGAATATTGTATAATGCAAAAAACAACAACATTCTTTTAATATCATTACTTTGGATCATCTGAAGATTCGGTGTTTGCAATTTTTGCTAATTGTTGAGCCCCTTCTAGTAACCGCCAGTATGTATTCCAAAACAATATTATACATTTTAGGATAGCACAAAATATTATTTAATGCTCTACATAAACTGTTTTTAAAATAATACCAAAGAGAAACTTGTAAACCTAGTGATGCTTTTCATTATTCATTCATTTAGGGAGGCGTTGTACCAGAAATATAAAAAAAAAGGCACTGTCATTTTTATTATGAGGATTCGATATTAAACAAATTAAAAAAACTACTTTGTTAAATTGCTCCTTTATACTTCCGTTGAAAGTAAAATTTCGTTCAGATAATTGGAAGGTGGTCCATAACTTACTGCCACTCATTTCAAAATAACATAAGGAGATGTGGTATGATTGCCAATGAGAAAAGTCTAGTTTTCCAGAAAGTATGTTTACACTGACACCTTCATTAGTTGCCACAATTTTGCTTGGTAAAAGGGTTGATGAAATAACGAGGGTGCTCTCTAGTTATATTAATACTTGGGTTTCGCCTTTGGTTTTAAATACAGACCAGATAATGCTTGGTCTGTCAATTTAGAAAATATCTACACCTAAGAGTGACAATACAAAACTTTTCCTGCCCAATTGTTATTAATCACATCTAGATATGATATAGATATAAGAAGATGTGGTATGAGTGCCAATGAGACAACTCTCCATCCAAGTCAAAATTTATAAAAGTAAATCATTATAGGTCACAGTACGGTCTTCAACACGGAGCCTTGGCTCACACCGAACAGTAAGCTATAAAGGGCCCTAAAAATTACTAGTGTAAAACCATTCAAACGGGAAAACTAACGGTCTAATCTATATAAAAAACGAGAAACGAGAAACACTTATGAACCACATCAACAAACGACAACTACTGAACATCACTTCCTGACTTAGGACAGGTGCAAACAAATGCAGCATGTTTAAACGTTTTAATGGTACCAAACCTTCACCCTTTTTCTGAAACAATAGTGTAACATCACAACATAGAAAGACATACTATAAAATATCAACTGAAATAGCTTAACTCAATCAAAGGACATATTAACACTTGAGTTCACTTTAAAGTATACAACAAAGCAGTGTAATTATTCATCGATGGTCATTTCAACGGATGGAGGTGAAAAAGCATCGAGACGAATGTTAAGGACTTAAAAGGGTAGTGTAATTTATATAATTTATATATGACAGTATATGTGCTTATACTGCAAGTAATGTTGAATACTTTTATTCTAAAAAAATATACCGTTTAAAACAAAACAGAAAATCTGAAAAACCAGACTTTCAAAATACAATACCATAATTTTTCGGTCATGACAATTTTATCAGTAAATAAATGAATTAGTATAAAATCAAGTTAAACGATTTTTCAATTAAGACTAGCGACATAACATGCTCATTTAAGAATTTTGGAAAATTGCGATTTATTTTTTTGCATAAAAGTACTTACTCTATAATTACAATAATCTATTAGGAACTATTGATGAGTTGTTTAACTAAATAAGTATTATTATCGCTATTGTACGAATTTTTCCTTTGATCTTGCTGACTGATAATTTCCTTTCTCAGCGGAGTCGAGTGATATGAAAATTTTCGCTAGAAACTAAGGGAACACGTGCCGTTGTCAAGGAAATTAACAACGTCTTCATAGGTAAAATAGCGATAAACAGATTATCATTGGTCATCTCAACTCGATTGCTAACCATCTCAACGAGATTGATTTTCTCGCTTGAGCTGGTACGGCGAAAGTGAGAAAAGTAATCGAGTTGAGATGACCAATGATAATCTGTTTATCGCTATTTTACCTATGAAGACGTTGTTAATTTCCTTGACAACGGCACGTGTTCCCTTTGTTTCTAGCGATAATTTTCATATCACTCGACTCCGTTTTCATATCACTCGACTCCGCTGAGAAAGGAAATTATTAGTCAGCAAGATCAAAGGAAAAATTCGTAAAATAGCGATAATCTATAATTTTACACACACATTCCCATGGGGCTCTTCCCCTAATAGAAAAATAAGAATTTCCTAAAACAGTATGTTTGTAGGCCAATTTTTACTGTAAGTAGCGAAAAGAGAATATTCAAATGTCCAGTAATGTTTTAGTTCCCTCTAATTCTAATTGCAGGTAAAGGTAGATCATTTTTGTTAATGTATGCTGTTATACTTGTTATGAACCATCCTGTACAGAACTTCAACAAAAATGTACTTGTTATGTCTGACAGTTCAACATGTGGTCAAGAAATGGCATTCAATCAAACCAGGGAAGTTATTGAAGCAGCCTTTTCTCCAATGGCAGGTAATCTAGCTTTCTAATCAAAATTATATATCAAACAAAGCAAAGCATGAAGATTTCCTGCAGCACAGTTCATTAGTTCCAGCTAATTTATTACAAGTGGAAGGTTTAGCTAGCTATAAAACCAGGTTTAACCACCATTTTCTTCTGAAATGCCTGTACCAAGTCAGGAATATGGCAGTTGTTTTTCACTTGTTCCGTTGATTGATAGCGTTTGATTTTGCAAGTTTTTATGGACTTACCCTTTTTTGAATTTGCCTTGGAGTTCGGATTTTTTTATGCAAGTTTTTATTCATATGAAGCTCATCATCATGAACTAACCAAATCTCATTTTTATATTTTCGCCTTTTTCGATTATTAAGATAAACAGATGGAACTGATTTCCATGCACATAGCTACACCTGTTTCTGGAATTACCTTATAAGGAACACCACAGAAAAAAATGAACTTTTAAATCACACCATACAACCGTTTTTATTCAATAGGTGTAATAAAAACTATAAACAAGTTGATGGATGCTCTAAAACAGTTTGCGGCTCTTATACGGAAGGCGTTTACAGCACTGCAGTCAGCTATCACCGAAATAGGTAAGCATGAGAGAAAGTGCTGTATTCAATCTTAAATTAGTTAAGGAATGCAATCGTACACAAATGCTAGAAAATAAAGGTGAAAAAAGTTAAAGGATTAGCTTTTCATTATGTATTCTTTTAATGGATACTTCTTTAACTATCAATATATGCCATTATGGCATTATACAACCTAACAAACATTTCTCTGTGTATAAAATTATTTTACAAAAATCAGTTTCTGTAAATTTTTATATCACTTTATTTATTTTCTTGCTTTGTCTGCTTGTCAAGAATCTCATGCGTATCCAGGACAAGAACAAATTGGTAATCAGCATAATAGGTATGTTCTGAAAAGTAGATCGACTGGAATGAAGGTCGTAAAAGTTGGTCTGCCATTGCAAAATGAGGGTATGTTGGATAGGGGCAGACATTTTGCCTTCCAACTGGCCACCTAAGAACCATTCAAAGAGTTGTAAAGGGTTCTTTATACTAGTGCACTCATCCTACACTAGCATCTTATTAACAACATGTAACGTCCAATTTCTGACAGGACGGGTATAATATGACATTCTCACAGTATATTTAAAGGTGAGGCCGAAGTAGAGTCGGAAAGGGCTGCAACGCATTGATGCATACACAATTTCTTTGTTTTCAAATGATTTTGATACTGTTTATTTTCCTTAATTGAATCAAACAAAGCTTTTGTCGATTTTGTTGCTTCACGAAGCACAAGCCTTATTTTTTAAATTTTCTACTAGACCTTCACGTTAACTTACAAGTGTCAAATGACACAATGGTGATATTGAGGAGCTGTCAAAGTGAAATACAGAGTAATTGTTTCCATGTTGATCATGGATATAAAGGGATTTTTCTTTGTCACATAACAAACCTGAAACATGCTTATTTTTTTATAGCTGCTGTATTGGATCGGGCGTTAAAATGGCTGGGAAACATTGTAAATATATGTAACGAGAAAATGGGTCAACCTTTCAAGAGATGTAATAAAGCATTTGAAACTGCTTTTAGGAGATGCAAGTACGTGATAAGAATTTCAGATAAATTATTTTACTGCAACATGATAGTGCAAGCATAATCACATTTACAAATTTCTCTAGGTATCGATGAACAGTGACATGACCAGACAGATCATTGCCAGTTAGGTAGCTTAAATGATTTTCCTGAATATAAAATCTATTTATAAAAATAGTTATCTTTTAATTTTTTAACCTGCATAGGAGGCTCTGCACAGACAGTCTTTTAAATGTTTATATTCACGAAAAGACAATAGTTCTCTATTGAATGTACATGTGGCTGGCAAGAGCAGACCGGTGTGCTCGATAATTTAGGTGTCAAGGTTCCAAGATATGCAAAACAAAATAGTTGTTTTCGGACTATTTGTCTTTAATCAAAAAGATGCTTTATATATTGTAGCTCGATACTATCATTTGTGTATACATAACTATTTAACAAACACAACACAAGTTTGTGTTATTGTGCAGTTGCATTAAACTTTTAATGGCCATAGAAACAGGTGTAAACAGTCCAAAATTGCCAGTTTGTTGATGAAGAGTACAGTTTCTATTGTTAACCCTTAACTGTATATCCGCCTGCTTAAAACAGGTGGTGATTTCTTGACGGTGAACTCGTTTTACCTGATAGGCGTGCTATTGGGCGCCCGCCAAACATGTTTAACCCCGCCACATTCTTTTTGTTTGTGCCTGTCCCAAGTCAGGAGCCTGTAATTCAGTAGTTGTCGTTTGTTGCTGTATATCATATTTGTTTTTCGTTTATTATTTTGTACATAATTCAGGCCGTTATTTTTCTCGTTTGTATTGTTTTACATTTGTTATTTCGGGGCCTTTTATAGCTGACTATGTGGTATGGGTTTTGTTCATTGTTGAAGGCCGTACGGTGACTTATAGTTGTTAATTTCTGTGTCATTTGGTCTCTTGTGGAGAGTTGTCTCATTGGCAATCATACTGCATCTTCTTATTTTTATATTAACCAATAATATGATTATTTCCAGCCTATTCTATTTTATGATTTTCAATTAAAGTTTGAACTTCAAAATTATAGACCACTGTTAACATGAAAGAACGCATTGAACTGCTGATAGATTTTAATATACGTATTAGATAGATTTCTTAAGCAGTTTAGCTTATCACTAATGAATGTGTTTACTTTTTAGATCAACTAAGCTATTTCCATCACTTTTTGTCCGTTGTGTGATTATTGTTGACATAACCATTTTCAGAAATCTTTTTATCTGAAACCAAAGAACGGATTTGAACCGAACTTTTTGTGAATGTTCCTTGGGATATTTAATTTATAAATTGTGTCCTTTATTTAATTCGTCAACACACATGGTCGCCGTCGATAAGATATAACATAATGGATAGAACTGAGGATTATGGCTTATATATAAAAAAGATATTGTTCACAAGTCAAAGCAAAACTGACTGATAAAACATAGTCAGCAAGTCTATTACTATATACTTTTTTAAAAAATCGGACAACCCATTTTGAGTTATTTTTCCTAAGATTTATATATTTTTAGCAATGTTTTCAATTTTTTACTATTATCTGAAAACTATAGGGCTAGATTAAATATGTAAATTGCAGAAATTATCACCAGAAAAACTCATTCTGCTCTGGTTATTTCAGATAAATTGGAACAAATATCATAAACTGTAGAACAAGATCGAGATACCTTGAAAATTTCAGAAAATCGGACAAATTTCTCAATTTTTTTTGTTGTTGTTGGTTTTTACGTAAAGAGTAAAAATGTTTGGGAAAAAAATATAACTGCAAAATTGATGAGCAGAAACGAGATGTATTTACCCTTAAACTTTGAGAAAAATCGGCAGGCTTTTTTTTTTTATATAAAACACCTTAACAAATTTGAACCATACTTTTTATGAATGCTTCCGGGGGTGTGTAGTTTATAAATAATATCTGATTCTGAGGAAAAAATGGAACATGGCTGCCAAACTGCAGTTTTTGACTTGCATCTCCCAAATTATATAAGATAGAGAAATAGAAAATCTGGCAGAGTTAAAGTGATGAGAATGTCAAGATCTACAAAGTCCTTATAGGATCGAAATTGTCTGTACATTGTATGATGATTTTCGCTGGTATTGGTTAATATATCAAAAATTTTTAAAAGAGCGAGAGCCACAGTTTGAATAGCCAAAATGATCAGCATATCACCATCTACAAAAGTTGCCATATTTTGAAATTATCACGACTTTCTGAGAATTGTTCCCAAGGAATTTGTTCATTACTGTGTTTCACTTATATCAGAAAAATATAAGAGCTAGAGGAAAAGCGTATATTGTAACATCGATAAGTACATCAATATTTACCAAAGTCCTTATTACGCTGAAATTGTCCGCTTACTCCACGAAGAGTGACTTAGATTAAAATGCGTTATATTTTACAATCTGTGTCACAGATGACCACCGATTTGTTGTTATTGTCGTAACCGCAATCCCGTCTTCTTTCCCTCGATTGTGACATTACCGAATATAACTATTCAAGGAATTTTGTACTTACCTTCACGAGCAACACGACTGGTGTCACAAGTCGTTAGTGTTCGAAAAACTTTTACATTTTACAAACAGTAAATTTACAGAAACACGTAAACATTATATACCATGCCAGCACAGAAGCGATGACTGCTAGGTTGGTGATACTCTCAGAGAGGAGAAATCCATGAGCATTGGAATCTACCCAGTGATTTAAAAAACTAATTAAAGATACCTGGCTTATAATTCATTACACATACATGCGTCAGCATGTAAGCTGTATATATATACTGTAGAGGATCAATTCAGGTATATTTTTTATGCTCTTGAGACCTCATGAAACCTACCTCGTATGCACAAAGGTAGAAATATTGAATACAATTTAAAGGCAAGATTGACCTTAGATGGATTTAGATGGATTTAGCTATTTATTTTTTTATGTCCTTTTATGTCATATAGCTCTTCAACTGTTTCGGCTCTTAAAGCTGAATTTCTGGCGAAATCACAACAAATGTTTAGACAAACAAATTGACCAACTATCCGTGACGTTAGGCTAACATATGTTTTGCCAGGTTTACATGTAATTTGTAACTTCCTAAAACAGAATTTTAGTAAATTTCTATGTTGACCCCCCGATGGACAAAAAAAAAAAAAACAAAAAATATAATTTCATATGAAATAATTAAAACTAATATATGAATTGATATGATAAATGCCGTTCTTTGTGCTTTTGTGACTGCTTTTTTTTCTATTTAAGAGATGCTTTGGGCATTTTTGGATTTATTTGCCATGTTGTAAAGGCTGTTAGCTATGTTTGCTATATCTGCAAAAGTAAGTAACACTAACATTTACATTTTTAAAATCGTAATTTTGTGTTTTATTGTGAAGGTTATTTTTCAAATTTTTGGACATTATCTGGTTTATAAAACGTTTAAATTCAACTATTTCCCCACGATGGTAAAAAGTTTTGCTTTACTTGTATGATTTTGTTTGGCTTTCGACAAATAAATGGTTTGGCATTAAGCACTCAATCTTTTTTTAATTGCTGTTTTGTTTTCAAACTAAACACCAATTGAAATTTTGAAACAATCTGAAGTATACATATATTGTTCCTTTTTTTCAGTTACAGACTTGCTTTGTATTATTGCATCCTGGATTAAAAACCTAGTAGTTGACAAAATTGTAAAACGTAAGTACTTTATATTTTATCACTTAAAATATATTCAAAACGAGGATTGGTGTCCAAGCATTTTATTTTTGTCTCCTTTCACTAAAGAAATCATATCAAAATATCGATGAGAAAAAAAATCCAATAATAGGATCATGACTAATTGATTAACATGCTTTATGCCATGGAAAGAAATGTCTGAAGGGCAAATGTCAACATCAGCAGCAATGTAGACAGCGACAAGTGAGGACAAAACACGTGGTGGACACTTTATACACAGGCCTCGCAACTTTATCTTGGTACCTACATTTGTACTGTAAAATCTATAAAACGCACTAAAGAAGCAAGAAGATACCATATAGGACAATCATTAACTAAAAGTCGAGGACAGAAAAAAACAATATTCTATATACAAAGAAGAGGACACACTACAGTCGAAAAATATTACATAGAAAAATAAAGATTGAGCTTCACAAACCGCAAAAAAAATTTTGATTTTTGGTGAACCCAGGGTCATTTTTTGAGCAGATCCTGTGGCAACCGTCGTGTTACATATGCCATAAAAAGGCGACAAGTCAAAAGAAGAAAGGAATCATACAGTGAGTCGACAGGATCAGTTCCAGACTCAACTAAAGATTGAGCTTCACAAACCGCAAAAAAACATTTTGATTTTTGGTGAACCCAGGGTCATTTTTTGAGCAAATCCTGTGGCAACCGTCGTGTTACATATGACATAAAAAGGCGACAAGTCAAAAGAAGAAAGGAATCATACAGTGAGTCGACAGGATCAGTTCCAGACTCAACGAATAATGTATCGACAGTTAATAGGACACAATCGTTTAAATCAGATTTTCATTCAATTACCATCTGCAACATTTTTTAGCCTGCGTCTTTTTCTTTTTTTGCGTTCAAGAACTTTATCACAAGTTGAATTTATTCTTTTGTTTCATTACAACACTCTAAATTCAATCACTGAGTTATTGACACCACTTTTTGAGAAAAAAAATTGCATTAACTCAAACTATAAACAGAATTTCACCTTCTATTATACATAAAGACTGGAGCCAGGAGGTAGAATGGGTGATAAAACAAAAATTGTAAGATTTTTTCATGCTAAGGCAAAATGTAGTTCATATTGTTTTATTTCTAAATATTATAAAACTAGAGGTCATCGTGTTTGTTTTCAAGCTACACATTTTGTAAAACAGAGGCGGAGAATACAAAGGGAGCAATCAATTCTTATAAGTCGATGACAAAGTCATGGCAAAAAATCGAAGAAATTCTAACAACAGTATACAAAACACGACATAGAAAGATAAAGGGCAAAGCAACACGAACCCTACAAAAAAAGGGGAGTCTCCGGTACTTTGGAGGGGTAAGCATGAGTTCCTGCCCACATGTGACACCAGTCACATTGATAATTAAAAGTCCAAAAGCGATGATAAGTCTCATTCAGTGATAAGTCGCAGCAATTGATATCACATCCAAGGAAAAGTATTATGCAGAAAAAAAAAAACATATAACCATAGACGGAATATACCCACAGGCACTTGTCTCTGAAAAAAATTTCCTATATACCTTTATATAACACAAGGTACTTAACTTGCATTTTTGAAAAATGTCTCCCGGTCGCTAACTTCCGTTATATTTCGATTTTTTTGTTGTCAACCCAACTAAAACTTGTTATGCCGTAAATCTAAATTGATTTATCTACACAATGGCTTTGAATATATCAAAGAAAAATCAATATTCACTAGTCGAATAGAAACTGACAAATAATAACAAAAACGAAAAACAACGAAAAGACTAATACCTGTCTGCAAACCACTACATAGAAAACTAAAGACTGAACAAAAGAAATCCCACCAAAAACCAGGTGTGCTTTCGTGTGCTCCGGAAGGGTAATCTGTTTGAGGACCAGCTCGTCCTTGCAGGAAAGGTTACGCTTAATCACTGTAATTAGACCCTTGTCTGCATGTATCACCCGTCGTGTTTATCATGGTAGTTACACATTCGGTGGCAAGTCTCATTATGTGATACACAATTGAGAAAAAGAGGACGTTATCGTGGCAATGATACTTGAAATATATCCGTGGTCATCTGTGGCATAGATTTTCCATAACGATCAATTAAATCATGATGGCCTCCGTTAAACTTTCGAAGGGATTATGTCGACTTTTAACAACTAGGAACCACCAATCAGCCATCAAGATACAAGTTAAAATATTAGACACACTTAGCTGAATCTGTGGTATCCTTTCAAGGTCGATGGGATAGATACGTTCTATATAGACACAAAACTTTGAATTATTTGGTAAGAGGACATCCTTTTTTAGTCACTGATGAGTCTTTTGTAGACGAAACCAGCGTCTGGCGTACACAATTACAATCCTGGTATCTATGATGAGTTTATTTGCAACAACTGGGTCGATATTACTGCTGGTGGAGTTTTTCTCTCCGAGGGTATCCCAGTAGTCAGCACTTCTGTGTTGACATGAATTATCATTGGTATGGTCATAATTATAATTTAAGTGTTAACAAAACTTCGAACTTTTCGAAATGCTCAGGATTTTCTTCCCCAGGAATAGATTACCATAGCTGTATTTGGAAAAACTTCTAGAAATTTTGGGTTGCTCTTCAATTTCTTACTTTATTTAGCCTTTTAAACATTTTTGATTCGAGTGTCACTGATGAGTCTTTTATAGACGAAACGCGTGTCTGGCGTACACAATTTCAATCCTGGTATCTATGATGGGTTTATTTAGCAGAACTTTAGTTCAAGGATAACGCTATCTTCTTTTCATAATTCCTGTGTATGAAGAGTGCCTCATATGAATAAAGAAACATTTCAACAAACGAGAAGCTCAGCTGTTTCCTATAAGAATTAATATTGTCTGTCGAAAAACACATAACATTAAAAATGTAGACCACTTGAGTGTCAATTGTATTCAGTTGTCATTTTCAAATTAAAATTAAAGTAGATTAAGTCACATTTAGGTTTCAACCAGCGATCTCCTTTCTGACCGCTGATAAACTCTCCTGCTGCACAGAAAGAGAAAAAATGTAAAACAAAACCTAAACCTTCGTTAAACATCAAAAGATAACACATTAAGTTGCAAAGTTTAATTTAGAGCAAATATAGGATGGTGTAGTTATTTAAAAGAAAGTGCTAGACAAGCAGACTAAAATATTTACGATGAAACTACATGTAAATGATTTTTTTTATCTTTTTAAATCACTTTGTGACACAGTGGCTTTCCTAATTCTATTTCAGTTCAGACAAATAAAATTAACAAGTATTTGATTAATTAAAAAATAGGAAACATTGCACGGAATTCAGGATTTTTTTTTCTGTTTGTTGTTTGATGCAAGGTAAATTTTGTCAAACTTTATTGGTTTACAAAAAAGGTTAGAAATTTGTTTCTAGAAAAATGCGATATTATTAATGATCAACAAACTTGTTTGCTCATTTTACGGTTTATTAACAAGTACTTAGCATTTTCGTCATTTTTATTACAGCTGTGGAATCTGCTATATTTGATATCAAGATGATGTTTTACTTTAATGTCACTATAAATTACCACTATGAATTTAACATGACACAGTCCAAATCATACACACAAGTAAGAAAAGACATTATGAATGAGGTGAAAGAAAGACTTGGCAGCTTTTCAGAAGTTATGTCAGTGATGACAAATGTCATGCTATTAACCATTATATTTGTATTTATCAAGTAAGTTGATTTTTTAAACTGTTCTAATGAAAGAAATATCATAACAGTATTGCTCCTATTTTGCTTAAAAAAGAACAGAAAAACTACAAATATACCTTAAATGTATGAGATATTTAGGAAATATTCTTATACTTTTCTTAGTCATCAATTTTGAAATCTTTGAACAAAAAATATCATAAAGGTTATGTGATTGAAGACAATTTTTGTGTAAATTATGACAACTCATTGAGTAATTTTCCCATACCACTTATTGGAAACTTAATTCTTGATATAATTCACTAAACTTACACATATCGTTAACTGGGCATACAATTGTGCACCTTTTGTTTTTATATTTTCTTAGAGTGATTTTTGTGGGCATGCACTATCATTGGATTTCGTCCTTTTTTATTTTATAATTTGGGGAGACGACAGCCGGCGACAATCTATGTTTTAATTATTAGTTCTTGCAATATTACACATTTTTTAATTATAATATTGGAATTCTAAGTTATATATATTAAATGGTCAATGTTTTGATATACCCTGATCATGGTCAAATTAAACGGACTTGTTAAAATATTAATATTCCACCTAAGGCGTTTTTTTTTATATTCGTTATAAAGTATCTTAACTTGTTGCATCAAGAAATAGCCAAGTATCTTAGTTGTATTTGGCAACAACTTCGTACTTTATTTGGCCTTTTTAACTCTTAATTCGAGGGTCATGGTGAGTCTATAGTAGACGAAACGCGGGTCTGGCTTACACAATTTTAAAGCATGGTACCTTTAATGAATTATGTCCTACTTACCTAACAATAAAACTTACTACTTACTGTTGCATCAGCATTTAAAGTTTAAAACGACAAATCGTGGTAAACAAATTAATATCAACACTCAATATATCAGTAACTTTTAAAGAGTAAAAATAAAAAAGATGGTTATAAAACCTTTTAACCTCAGCTTTTATTTTTTTTCTTAAAAGAGATATTTTTTTACAATTTAATCAGTTAGACAACTCTCTTCAACTTCTCTCTTTCGACACATACATTGTTTGGTTAGATTGTATCTATATATTTGCTTGAAAAATATCCATTAAATACAATAATAACTGACTTGTACTTGTTCTGTCATTATTTCAAATGCCTGTTGTTTCAGAGCAGTTATATACAGACAGAAATATTTGAGTAGCGATAAGTTTGATAACTATTACTTAACGTACAAGGTACAAGAAGTTGATCAACGTAGAAAGCAAATGGGAAAAGAAAGAATATACCCAATGACTAGGAAAGAGAAAAGAAAATATGTTGCTTCAAGTATGTTCAATGGTTTTGTTTTTTGCATACGTTTGTCTTTCCAAGTTTTGCGCTATTTGTATCTGGTGGAGGATATCAAGAAACACATGTTGTTTTGTTTTCACTGAAACTAGAGTACCAGAGGGTCAGTGATACATCTAGTAGAATTCCAGTCATGTAGCGTATCGGTAAACTCGAATAAAAAAAGCAATGTGCATTATGATTTGCCTTCATTTTTGCTTAATTTTAGTTTTGCTTGCCAATCACTGTTTTTACTGAGCTATTTACTATACATTTATTGCTTGTTTTTCTTTTTGCAATGCTGCTTTTGATGGCTTATTTATTTGGTATTCTTATTAATGCCTTTACCTATGCGGTGGTTTGTGCTCTGCTTTCTATTTGTTTTTTATTATGCGCATCATTTTGTGTTTTGGTGTTTATTTTATATGTTGTATATCTATAGGCTGATGTTTTATATGGTTGGTTACGTGAGTTTCCTTAAAGCTCATGTTAAACTATGTATATATGTGCCGAATAAATAAAATGTCCTTTCGTACTTAGCCATCTTCAATGTACTGGAATAATTAAAACGACACATTCGCCATGTGAATTTTCAGTTTAAAAATTATGCAATTGACTATAGGTTGCAATTCCCACAATTTATGCAAACTTTACACAATTCTAACTTTTCAGTAATCCCTTTTCAATGCATTATGTATTAGCTTTCCAAACTTTTGAAATTGAGCTTTCTTGATCAAGTCTTTTGTAATCCCAAAATTCAATATATAACCGAAAGGTTGCATATTGCTGCTTCAAAAGAAGGGTAAGTCAAATCTCTAGTCCTATGGACAACGAAGCAAATCGTCAATTTATAGGTCGGGGAAGGAATATACATCCTAGCAGTGACAAATCGGGCTTTTTATTTGAAACAGTTTTCATAAAAATACAATTGTGATTAATCGCCATAAGATTCAAAGATAGGGACATAAAAAGTCATTTTAAAACAATGCATAATCCACTTTTGCAGCATCCATAAAACTGGTAAGGAGAGAGAGGTGCAAAATGGCAAAAGGATTTTTTATATTATTCATAGCAGGGTGTCATGCTTCGTTTTATCTGATGTCGGATTATGGTTTATGGTGGTTGTTAACAATGCTGAGAAAGCATTTGATGCTCAAAACAAATAATACAGGTAAACTATTTAGGTGTTACACAGGTGCCAATCATAATGCCATTAAAGTTCCAAAGTATGTATAAATAGTTTTAATTTTTACCATACTGATTTGAAAGTCATTTAAAAGCATTCGCTTTTCTTAATGCAAGTTTGAACTTAAGTAAATACTGACCTACTGTCCAAGTCACATCTTATGTTAAGGAAGCAACTTTGGCAATATTGCTGTCTACAAAAGTTTTTTTGAATCGATGATTTTTTCTTTGATTTCCATATTTTATTTATTATTAACATTTTAATATAGAAAAAAAGAGAAAGTAGAAACAAATGTCAAAGTGTCCCTGTATATAAAAATTAGCTTTTTTTTGTGTTTAGTACGTTTGTTTGAGCAATGTACTTTAAAAAGGCATTAGCTACGAGATATGAAAAAAAAATAGAATTTGATTTAGTTTGGTTCATCATTAATAAAAGTGAAATAATGAAATAATAATTCGCTTTTAGCAGCCAATTTTATTCAATTTTGTCAAAATAAGCAAAGAAACATCGCTGATGAATTATTCACTTGCAAGTGAATAATTCGACCCCATTGAATCCGTATTCATGTGACCTTCAATTTAATCCATTAGCTAGAGATTGGTTACGCATGTTTTAGTAGTGTTCAGCCAGTAAAAGGAAAAGAATGTCAACATTGAAAGTGAAACAAAGGTGAACCATTTCGTTGACTGATTCGATCCACAAAAATCATTCCTTTACAAGTAAAAACGATAATTAACTTATTTTTTTAACCTATAACATGAAATCAAACAGACATAAAAAAAAATCCAATTGCACGAGGTCGCTATCTATTTATATTCATGTTAATGTTTATATCGGGTTATGTGACTGTCGGGAGTCTTCGGAGGTCATCTCGATAGTAAATTAGATGGCGTCTAGACTAAAGTACACACGAAATTATGATATACATATTATCGAGAACGTGCATTGTTAACTGTTTATTTCAGACTTATTGTAATTTGGATATACGTTTTAGTATGTTATAAATCAAATATGAGAATTTGAGTCAAATCGGTGAACATGATTTTGAAAGCTAATGCCCCTTTAAATGTGTTGTTTGTTATAGTCCCGCCACATCTGAAGATGCATGTACAAGGAAGAGGTGCTATGGCAGACATGTATAAAGCTATGATCGGTATGTTTGACCCAATTGCGCAGGCTGGATCTAAACTTGAAACAGCACCATGCCTTCCAGAACCATATGAACCAGAATGGGCAGTATATGATGAGATAGGCAAGTGTACAGCATTTTCTTTTTCTGAAGACTTGCATATACATGTAATTGATCAAAATATAACAAACTAGTTAACTACCGATAGTATTTTTCTTGAAAATCCACAAAAGGATCAATTACACTGTGTACAGGTATTTGAAAGCATGTACTTTTATTAGATTGTAAGTTTGATCTAAAATGTAATACTAGCATAATGTGCAAGTCAGGTGTTAAAGTAAGTTCGCAACTTTGACCATGTTTATCAATTTTTTTGCTTACATATAAAAATAAGAAGATGTGGTGATTGCCAATGAGACAACTCTCCACAAGAGCCCAAATGACACCGAAATTAACAACTATAGGTCATCGTACGGCCTTCAACAATGAGTAAATCCCATACCGCATAGTCAGCTATAAAAGGCCCCGAAATGACAAATGTAAAACAATTCAAACGAGAAAACTAATGGCCTGATTTATGTAAAAAATGATAAACGAAAAACAAAAATATGATATACAGCAACAGACGACATGCATATTTACCCTGTAGTCGCACCGGTCTAGCTTCTCTGGAATTCATGCGCTTCCCTCAATTTTTGTTTTGTTTCGCCTGCGACGAAGGTTGCAAAATGCGAGACATAGGGATTACTATCCGGCGGCTGCGTAAACTATTTGTATAAAGCTTTATAGTTCAGAAGGTAGAAGACCTGGATGATTCATACCTTGTATGCAGATGCCTTATGTTACAAAGTTTCCGTCTGTCGTATGCCCATTGTCCTTGACATCCTTTTCATGCTTTAGCGGCTGCTTGAAAAAGGCCGGTTTTTTTTGGCAAGTGAAACACTCGCGCATAATGAGCAATAGGATAATTATATTTCATATATGAATCCTTGCAAGGTCTACATGTTCATCAGATAGCGTTCACCTGACCTCAACCTCATTTCATGGATTAGTGATCAAGGTTAAGTTGTCAATTCGCTTATCTCAGTTACTTTAAGCAATTGGTTACCTATATTTGGTGTATGGAATGATGGTAATCTATTCATATCTGTCTGGCAGGTTTCATCCGACATTTCCCCTCATTTTCATGGTTCATGAGTTAGTGTACAATAGACTTGAATATTGCATGTTATATCAGATCCCAGATGACATGATACGACAACGTTGCTAATAGGAATTAGGTAGTTTACAAAAAGGAAATACAAAACATAGTTTTGACGTAAGGGTTGGAGAAATAGAAAATCAAGCAAGGAGAAATCCGGCTGTAAAAATAGGTCAACAATATTTTGTGTATTGAATGATTGTAAGTTGTATATGTCCGACTGGCAGGGTTCGTCTGATTTCTTAATTATAATTGTTTCTCGGATATAAGCTATAAGCAATATGCTAACTATAGCTGGCGTATTGTATGATTGTAAGGTGTACATGTCTGTCTTGCGGGCCCCTTTGACCTTGACCTCATTCAAATCGACCATTGATAATGTGAAGTTTATGTGACACTTGTATTAAAACCTTCATATCACAGACTTTCAACATAAATTCAATCATGATAAGTAAAGCAGGCGAGACATTTCAGCGTGTGCATTCTTGTTTACCTTGATTTGTATTTTATAAGATCAGATCGGTAAACTACTGATGTGTCTAATCTAAGATAATCTTAGTAGCCTACTCAATTAAGAAACACCAGTAATTCCAAATATGCTTATGTGGCAACTATGACGTGTATGGCTTTTTTTAATAGCTTTCAAAAACGTACGTGCTTTTTGTAATATTTTTTACTATGTCACTGCTGATGCTTTCTGAATAATGTTTAGTTTGCATCCATTTTTAGCTCACCGGGGCCCGAAAGGCCCCATGTGAGCTTATGCCATCACTTGGCGTCCGTCGTCTGTCGTCGTCGTCTGTCGTCGTAAACTATTTAAAAAATCTTCTCCTCTGAAACTACTGGGCCAAATACCTTCAAACTTTAACTAAATGTTCCTTAGGATATCTCATTTATAAATTGTATCCGCAGTTTTGAATTTGATCCATCGACAAACATGGCCGCCATGGCTAAAAATAGAACATAGGGGTCAAATGTAGTTTTTGGCTTATATCTCAAAAACTAAAGCTTTTAGAGCAAATCTGACATGGGGAAAATTGTTCAATTGGTCAAGATCTATCAGCTCTGAAATTTTCAGACGAATCGAACAACCCATTGTTGGGTTGCTGCCACCGAATTGGTAGTTTTAACAAAATTTTGCAGTTTTTTGTTATTATTTTGAATATTATTATAGATATATATAAACTGTAAGCAGCAATAATGTTCAGCAAAGTAAGATCTACAAAAAAGTTAATATGACCATAACTGTCAATTGACCCCTTAAGGAGTTATTGCCCTTTAAAGACAATTTTACACAATTTGTTCATCAAGTTTGCTAACATTCAAAAATCTTTTCCTCTGAAATACAGGTGAGCGATTCAGGCTCTTGAGAGCCTCTTGTTATTTATACATGTAAGACCATCTTATTTCAAATCATTTCGGTGTTCGAGTTGTCATATAAAGCTGATCTTGTATTTTCACTTGAGAATGTACGGAAAGTGAAAATTTAAATATTTGATAAATTTAGGGAGCTACCATTTGATTTTTATGGGTTTTGTGTTTTATCTGTTCCCGGGTTTGTCTTTTGTTCATTGGTTGCCCTTCTTTATGACTATTCTCTTAGTGTTGCATTCTATTTGTAATTTAGTAATTATGTTTTAAACTTGAGTTTTATTATATTTAAGGACCTTTTGTCTATTACAAAATATTTTAAATTGTATCCCAGTTAGGGGGGGGGGGGCTAGGATGAAAATTTTTTTCCTGCCTTTTTATTTTTCCCTCTATTTGGTCCTGCCTTTTTATTTTTCACTCTAAAAAATGGGGGGGGGGGGGGAGGGCAGGAGGATTTTGAAAATAAATAACTCAGCCTTGATAATAACAAAAATGAATGGTTTGCTCTGTGGTAGTTTGAAAATAAATAACCTGACTTACAATGTATGGAAAATAACTTGGCAGGTCTTTTAAGCCATTTTATAAATGCTATTCTGAAGTATGAGATGGCACCAGATTCTTCCAAAATTCGTCTTTTTTCATATTTTTTTCGGGAAAAACTTCCCAAATCTTTTAATAATATAAATATTAATGTATTTGAAATGTTTGAAAATGGGTTTCATTTCACTTGAGGTGTATTGTCTGGTGAACATTTACCTCACTTTTATTACAGGCCCCCTCTTAACTTAATTTGAAAAAAAACATAATTGACAGGCATAAAAGGTTTTTCTGCAAACTGAAACATTTTTTGCTTTGTCCTACATATTGGTCTTTTGATGTTGTCCGTAAAAACTAAAAGTCTTACACTGAATCTACATAATTTGCTTTGAGACCAGAATATTGTCAAAAAATTAAAACAGAACTTGCTTTTCAGATTAAGAAAGGGTCTGGGAAACGCGCATAATGCATGATGTTGCGCCATTTTTTCTATAGCTTCTTGGGGCCTTCAGCGAACCCCAGACTCTTCGCTGATTTTTGTTTGTTTTATAAAATGACCATAAACCCACTTATTCATGGTATGCCATCAATATTTCTGACCTGACACTACGTACTTTTTATTGCTTAATTCTTTAGAATTTAATATGCAATGTTTCGGGTTCTTTCGGGAAAAGAGGCTAGTTACAGCTCAGCTTTAATACTTTGTACGTATGCAATATATGCAGTTTGCAATTCAGAAGATTAACTTCCAGAGGATGGTGATTAATTCTGATTGACTTAATTGACTATGCTATTTATTTAAGAATTTAAAAATTGTATGTTTTCAAATAGTAGAAAATAAATAATCTGTCCTTTTGGTCCACAAAAATAAATAACAAATCCTCCTAACCTCCCCCCCCCCCCCCCCCCCCCCCCCCCCCCCCCACCACCACCACCACCACCACCACCACCACCACCCCGAATATCAAATGGTCGTCCACTAACCAATGAAACCGTTGTTTGGTATAAGTCAAATATCAACTGTTTATCATTCTCTATGGACACCCTAAAAACCATCAACCATTTCAATCGACAAATATAGATAAATCAACCGTGTTTGCTGCACATTCCGTACATTGTATGCCAATTCACTTAATTGGTGATTCGAAACTTGTGTATCTTTACTATTTTATTTTGAAGGTTGCATATTTGGACTATGCGTCTTTCTTGTAATGTTTGAAGCATACGGTTTACGTCTGAGGCATATTATCTGTGGTTGTTTCTTTCCAAAAAGAGAAGGCGCAAGAGGAGTTTGGTTGTACAATCATATGTTAAAGACCAGAGGAGGATTTTTGAAATTTGAGCGACGCAAAATCAGGAGGGAATATAATACATCGTGTTCACGACAGAAAGCAAGCATCAAAGGAAAGCTTGCAGCAAAGTTAGTTCTTTTTTTAATGATCACTGCATTTATTTTGAGGAACACACAGCTCTCAAAACATTATTCCTTTACACATATTACGTTTATGGGAACCAACTGTGTTCCTCTTCTTATCGACATATTCTTTTATTCATATGAGGCAGACATCATACAGGAGCTTCTTGGGAAGAATGAAAAGAAGTAAGCATTATCCTTTATCTTCACGTTCCAATATATATATGATGTCCTCTCACTAGATAATTCAAAGTTTGGTGACTATGTTGAAAGCATCTATCCAATTGAACTTGAAATAAAGGATACAACAGGTACATTTTAGTTTGCCTCATATCTTGACTAACATCTATATCTATGACAATGAGGGTCGATTGTGAACAAAACTATACGACAAAAGAGATGATTTCAGTTCCTGAACTTTCAATTTCTATGTATGAATTTTCCAGCAGCGCCTGCATAGGAGTACATATCTTCCATTTGACACGAGATTCCAGAGCTTGCGTTTCCTATCATGATATCCTTGATAAAGAGTTGCTGCTTACAAAGGAGATATTACACTTCCCGGTGAAGTTGAAGTCATTCCTTCGAAAAATTTACGGACGCCATTATGAGTTGGTTGATCGATATGGAATATCTGTTTCGCAGATGACGACGGATATGTTAATTGTCGTAACCACAATCCCTTCCCCTTTTATTCGAATGAGACATCACCGAATTAAACTTATGAACAAATGTGTACTTACGTGAACAACACGACGGGTGCAAAATGCGGAGCAGGATCCAGACCACCTGAGATCACATCTGTTTTTGTGAGGTCTTTAGTTTTCTGTATTGTGTTTTGTAGACTTTTGATCATTTTGCCATGGCGTTGTTAGTTTGTCTTTGGCTCATGAGTTTGAATATCCCTTTGGTATCTTCCGCCTCTCTTTTGAAAGAAAAAAACGATTGAGTAATGTGGACCCTTCTGTAAAAGCTTTTACGACCATTCTATTAGGAACTCACTGGAAAGAACGTTAGAGTCGATTCTGACGCCTAGGTGAGAGTCAATTTTCTGAAAACTTCAAAATTCACCAGGTTAATCATCGTTTTTTTTTTCTAAAATTTACAGCACACCGGTACAAAAATTCTTGTTATTTGGAATTTTTAGTTGTTAAGAAGTACTTACTTGACTTTTTCGATCAGAATCTAGACTTTCAAATACCTGCGCTACAATTTTACGAAACGCATACATTATTTCTTTGACTGGTCATTCATTGGTTTTTTTTAACTAAATCAACCGGTCAACAGTAGATATATCCATTTAAACAAGTGAATTTTGAGATAATAATTTTTTTATATACAGGCGGAAAAAATAAACAATGCTTGCAAAATAAACCCAGTCTAAAATTTACAATTTGTACATGATGTGATGTTGAAAAATATTGTAAAAAAATGCTTTTGAAGATATCCGGTGTTACTCAGCGCCACGCGATGATATTTGCATTATTCTATACCGCATGCTTATTTAAAGAACTTTCTTGCGAACAAATATGTTAAGGCAGTATTTTGCCGTGGAAGAAGTTGTTAAGGCAGTATTTTGCCGTGGAAGAAGTTGTTAAGCATTTCTTTAATCTTTTGATGTCGAGAGAAAAACATTTTTGTGGCGATGAGGGGCACCTTTTCGTGCAGTCACGTTTATACGTCAATAAACGTTTGTATGTTCTCAAAGAGCTACGTTTGAGTGTAACACAGAACTACATATCGGTTACCGATTATGGACACTGCAAACTTAACAACACTAATTCTGTCTTTGGGTTTTTTTCATTTAGTTTTGTTACATTGGATATCGCCGCATTCTTTAAATGACATACTTTTATGACATTACATAATCAAGACATCACAATTTTACCGGAAGTAAAAGAGAGAGCTGCTGGTCCAACCAAAAAACTTGTATCGTTTTTTAGTTCAATAAATTTGTTCAAAAAATCAAAATAATTGTCAAAATGAATGAAAAGTTTTCCTGAACAGAATTAATTCCAGTGGTTATATTGCTCTAAAATGTCATCGAAATGCATGCTAATGTGTGTTCATGGATCATAACGAGGTTTTGAAAAAGAGAATCGTAGAACTTATAATTATTAACCAATATTATAAAGGTAGTCACAACAATTTAATGTTCATTTGATTTTTTTTTTATCTTTTTTGACAAACATCACAAGCAACATTGCAAAAGTTTATCTGAATGCAAAGTGATTTAATGTGAACCATTGTAATTGGCATTAATAATTGATCTAAACAAAAATACACGTTTATGCGGCAGCGTTGTCTTTATTTCCAAGATATAGTTACAAAGAGATAGTTTGTACAAGGTTAATTTTATGTCACAACAAATTTCTTCCGAGTTAAGAGCTCAATACTTTAAACATGTTTTATTGTCAAATCTTCTTTGAAGATAAAATCCAGCGTTACCAGATTAAGATCAAGACTTGTGTTCCTATATGTTAGGTGAACATATTCAAATTTTAAAGTAAATTTGGATTTTATTAGATAAATACTTACCATCATAAATTCTGAGTGTAACCCCAATTGCGTCATAGGTCAGATGGAAAATCCCGACTTAAAATAAACGTTCTCTCACTGGTCCGGACATATACCCCTGTTTGCCCATATTCTCCCATTCAATTTCCTCAAGACAGAAACGTAAGGAAAGGGGATGAAGGGGAGGTGGGTGGGACCTTTAATTTATGATGGTAAGTATTTATCTAATAAAATCCAAATTTACTTTAAAATTTGAATATTTTATAGCTATAAATACGTTACCATCATAAATTCTGAGTAACAGAATCTAACGTAAAGCTGAATCCCCTGTAACAGAAGAAACAGGCGGAAAGTTCAATCTTTGTGCTGAAACTATAGGTCCAAGAGAGTATAAACTCTCGGCAAAAGTAGCCATAGATTGTAGGTAATGAGATATAAAAGAGTTCTCATTTCTCCAGAAACCTGCAGACAGTACCTCTTCTAAAGATGCACTGTTAAACAGAGCCCAGGATGTAGAGATACCCCTAACTTCATGAGCTTTAACATTAAAACTATTTAAAAGTTCTGCCTTAGAAGAACCATAAGCTAAAGATATGCATTTGCATATCCAAGTAGAAATAGTTTTAACAGAAAGATCTGAGATTCCTTTTTTAATAGGAATAAAGAGTCTTGAGTTAGAAACAGAACGTAAACTACTCGTTCTATCCAGATAAATAGAAAGGATTCTTACTGGACATAAAAGTACATAAATATAATCGCTAGGGAGTGCAGGAATCACGACTGGTTCTGCACCCTTATCTGGAATCTGATTCTTTGCCAAAAAAGCAGGATCCGTTAAAAGAGTAACAGAAGATTTATCCCTGTTAAATCGAAGGCAAGCATCAGAAATAGAGAAGGCATGGATTTCACTCCTTCTCCGTCCAGAAGCCAAAGCTAAAAGAAAACAGCATTTATAGGAAAGAAACCTTAAATCTATTGTTTCTGCTGGTTCAAAAGGAGGAAGTTTTAAAAAAGATAAAACTAGTCCAAGGTCCCACTTAGGAACTAAAGTTTTTTGTCTTGGTCTTTCAAGACTAAAACTACGAACCAAAAGAGAAATATGCTCATTGTTTCCAAAATCTGGGCCACCAGAAATATGAATAGTTCTTGAAATAGCTGATCTATATCCCTTAATAGTAGAGGGACATAATCCTTTGGATTCAAAAAGAAAAACTAGAAAGTCTGCTAATTGTTGTACAGTGACTTGGAAAGGATCAATTTCCCGCTCACTACACCAATCTGAGAAGATTGACCATTTTGCATCATACACAATGCTAGTGGAGTCTCTGACAGACTTTGTGAGATGCTTGGTTGCTCCTTCAGAAAACCTCTCTTTCTGAGGCTAACCCTGAGAGAAGCCAGACGTGTAGATGAAGTTTTTCTGGATTTTGATAAAGAACCTTGCCCTTGATTTGAGACAGAAGGTCTGGTCTCAGAGGTAGACCTAGAGGACAAGCACATGATAGGCGCAGAAGGTCTGGAAACCAAGACTGTTTCAGCCATGCTGGAGCAATAACTATGATCTTGCAATTTTCCCCTGCTATTTTCTGAAGTACTGGGGAGAGAAACCTGAAAGGAGGGAAGGCGTACCCGAACATTCCTTTCCAAGATAGGCTCATTGCGTCTACCGCAAAAGATTTTGGATCTGGAACCGGAGACACAAATGTTAGAAGTTTGTGATTGAGACTGGTCGCAAACAGATCTATCTGAGGTGACCCCCAATGAAGAGTCACAGCTTTGAAAACTACTTGAAGTAGTTCCCACTCCGTGTTTACTGGAGCAAGGGATCTGGATAGAGTGTCGGCTAGAATATTGAGGTGCCCCGAAATTTGTCTCACCACTAGATGAACCTGGAGTTGAAAACACAGAAGGAGAATGTCTCTGGCTATCTGATAAAGAGAAGGTGAATGGGTTCCTCCCTGATTCTTGAGATAAGCTACAACTGTTGTGTTGTCCGTGGCCAGAATGACAGACTGATTCTTTAGAGACATTTGGAAATGATTCAGTGCAAACAGAACTGCTTTCATTTCCAATACATTGATATGCTCTTCCAAAAGATCTGGATTCCAGACTCCCGAGATTGTAAGCCCCTCCAGATATGCTACCCAACCGAGGATGGAGGCATCTGTGAATAATGTTAGACTGGGAACTTGAGGGGACAGACATAGGCCCCTCATTACATTTTCCCGGACTAACCACCATTGAAGGTGTGGAAATAAAGGCTGAGTGATTGGAATCAATGCTTCCCATTCTTGTGAAGCTGAATCCATAACTTGTGCAGATAAAACTGAAGCGGACGAATGTGAAGTCGTCCCAATGGAATTACATCTGCCAGAGAGTTTAATAGACCCAGAAGTTGCAAGAATTGACGTGCTGTGACTGATTGAACCGTCAGGAATAAATGTATTTTCAGACATAGTTTTGTAAATTTTTCCTCTGGTGGGAGGACT